TAATTTATGGGTTCACTGTGGATCAGGATGAATTAGACAGAAATGGGTTTGATTTTTATTTCATCTTTGAATTTTATCCCATCTATAGCTTCGTACATAGTGCCTAAGGCACTTGACTGCTAACCAGAAGGCTGGCAGTTCAAACCCACCAGCCACTTCTCAGAAAGAAGGTTGGGCAATCTATTTCCATAGTGATACTGCCTCGGCAACCCAAGGAGGGGTAGCTATGAGTCGGGTCTGACTCGACGGCACATAACTACAACAACAACATAGCTTCGTGTAAGCACTACTAAAATCAGGATACAGAAGATGTCCACCACCCCCAAAACGTTCTCATTTTATCTCTTTGCAGTCACAAGGAAGTAGTTTTTGGTTCTTTTGTTTGTCACACTGCTTATTCCTAGTGCCTGGAACAAAAGATGGCATAGAGTAGACACTTGATAAATATTTCTTGAATAAAACAAATATTGATGCCAACACATGATTGAAGTTGATATTGTGAAGGTCACTAGGACAAATCTCCTGGCCTTTCTTTCAAAACATAAACCAAGACTGAGGTAGTTCAGCTGACAGAATCTTAAAACATTTTTATTGCTGCTCCTGGCATCTTATATTTCACAGAGAAAGAGAGAGAGAGAGCAAAGGGAAGAGAAAGTGAGGAGGAGACGGAATTGGAGTGGAGATGGTTAAATCGGTCCTCAGCTTACCCAGATATAGAGAAAGAGATTTTCACAAAGATTCTCTGAGCCTCCACATTGAAATAATTTTCCAGATCTCCAGCAATTCCAATTCTTTCCCAACCAACCTTGTCACTATGTGCATGCATATGGTGGGTGGGGGTTGTAGGCTAAGTGGAGGGTTGGGCAAGTAGGGGAGGTAGAGCTGTGGTTCAACTGTGGCTTCACCTGGTTTTTGGTTATTCCCAAAAGTCCATGAGCAGACTCTTGCAAACTCTAATTTTCTTAAATTCTGGGTTCTATCCACCCAAATATACACCAGGAAGCAGATTTTCTTCATCTTTCTCACCTGTGTTCTTATTTATAGGGAGTTACAACAGGTCCAGATGTGTGTGCTGACCTAAGGAATTCTAACTTAATTATCTTGGAAGGAAAGCAACAAAAGAAAATTAGATGAGATAGAGACTGGGGCAACCCCCATTACTTTGGCCCCTAGACAATCTTCTGAAAAATCAGCCACTGAGAACACTGTGGAGCGCAGTCCAGCTCTGACACCCATGGGGTCACCGTGAGTAGTTAACTCAATGATAATCCCTATGGTTCAACTTTCAGGCAAATGATAGGCCTAAAAGATGAACAGTAATACCAGGGAGGTACACACTCCTTAGAACAATTAATCATACAAGATGAAAAAGGCAGCATTTGGCTAGGGATAAAGCTAAGAAAGCAGGAAGGTATAAAAAGGACACAGGGAAACAGTAAACACAGGGAGTAAGTGGGAAGAGTGCTGTTACATTGTGGGGATTGCAATGAATGCCACAAAACAAAATATGGATGAATTGTTTAATAGAAAACCAATTTTCTCTGTAAACTTTCACGGAAATCCCAATTAAAAAAAAAAGAGAGAAAATTAAGCGTATGATAATTCACAGCCATTCTGTTTAAGATGATGTCAGCTCATTAGCACCACAGAAAACTTTAGGCCTCCTCAAAGGCATGGCTTGTTCCACTGTCACTGTAAAACTGTATGTGAGTGTTAAGATTACTCCACAATAGAATAAATGTAATTTATTGCCTAGGGGCTTTAGAATGACTACATGAGATGATGCAAGGAAGCATAGCTCAGAGTGTGGCAGAAGTTAAACTCACAAAAAGTAGCTCTCATTCGAGTTATAAGCAGAGTCACTACTTTTACGATTCTACAAACATACATGGCAATTGAGACACGTCTTAACTTCCTCCTGATTTGATGATTCAGTTAATTGATATTTCCCCCATTGTCTCGGCAGATACAGTCATCAGGCGGTGACTTCCCATTCTCTTAGTGCATGATCTGAGTCTCTTTCTCCTTTGTGTCTCTCACAACTTTTCCCTAACACATCTCATCTCACTGCCCCAGAATATATTATGTGGGTGAGGATTGGGTTGGGCTGCATCTCCAACACATGCTCCCTGACCTTGGATCTTGGAACATAACTTAGCAGCCTGCTTCTTAGGATAAAGGCCAAACTCTTAGGTCAGCTTCTAAGGCCCTTGGCCTGGCATCCCCCAAGTCATTCACTATGACTGGATTTGTCCCTTCTCAAATTTATTCTTCTCTCATTTGCTCTCTCACCTTTTCACACACTTTTCTTTGTCTGAGACACTCTTTCTTCTCATGTTTCCTTGGACAACACCCTTCTATCTTCTGGTGTTTGCTTATCCTTTGCATAAGGAGGGTTTGGATCACCTCTCTCAGGAAGCCTTCTCTGATATTCCCCTCTGGATTCTATCAGGAGTTCCTATTGTGTCCTATCTTTTCATCTTCATGGTTCATATTCCATTCTATTATAATAAGGTCCCTGGGTGGCACAAGTGGTGGGCTGTTAACCTAAAGGCTGGCAGTTTGAATCCTCCCTCAGGTGCTATGGAAGAAAGGTATGACAACATGCTTTTGTAAAGATTACAACATCTGAAAGCTATGCAAACCACTGCAAACCTCTGCAAACCACTATGGAGTGGTTCTACTCTGCAACACGTGAGGTTGCTAGGAGTTCAAATTGACTTGATGATAAAGGATTTGCTTTTTTATTGTAATTACATGTCTAATATCTGTCTCCCACACTGAACTTCAGATCATGTCTCTCTTGCTCTCCTAACATCAAGCCCTGAATAGGTCTTCATAAGTATTTGTTGAGTGCTAAATGGGTCTGAATCAGAGTAAATCAAAGCTGGTTTGAACAGACAGAGTCTTCGGAGAAGGGAGTAGAAGGCATATGGAGAAAGACACTTAGTAATTACAGTATTTGGAAAAAAAAGTTACAAGGCCATCTTGAGGTTTAATTTTAAGCTGCTGAAATTCAAATTAGCTACTCTTTCAATCCATGCAATTCCAGAGTTTTTCCCAAGACCCCAGATCCAGATGTATAGATCCTACTCCTTAGAAGTTCCTGGGTGTCCTGGGGGTCAGGAAGATGAGCTGATTTTTCTGTTGACTAGCTTCCTCAGGGCTGCCTTCAGGTCCCTGTTCCTCAGGCTATAGATAAAAGGGTTTAACATGGGGGTGACCACAGTGTACATTACAGCAGATGCCTTCTCCTTTATGGCTGTGCGGACAGATGAAGGACACAGATAGACCCCAATGGTGGTCCCGTAGAAGAGAGCTACCACAGAGAGGTGGGAGCTGCAGGTGGAAAAGGCTTTCTTCCTGCCGTTTGCAGAGGGGACCTTCATTATGGCCACAATGATGCGAGTATAGGAGGCCAGGATGCAGATGAAGGGTGTGGCTATCACCATCCCTGCTACAATGAGCACAAAAATCTTGTTTACCATGGTGTCAGTGCAAGAAAGCCGAAGAAGGGGAGTAAGGTCACAGAAGTAGTGAGGAATCTCATTGTTGCCACAAAAAACCAGGCGGGCCATCAAAAGGATGTGTGTGAGGGAGATAAAGCAGGAAAACATCCATGGACCAGCAGCCAGCAAGCCACAGAGGCGTGGGCTCATGATGCTGGTATAGTGCAAAGGGTGACATATGGCCACGAACCGGTCATAGGCCATCACAGCAATTAAAACACTGTCCATGATGCCAAAGAAGTGGAAAAAGTACATCTGGGTCAGGCAGCAAGGATAGGAGATGGACTTGCTCCTAGTTTGGATGTTCACCAGCATCTTGGGAACAGTGTTGGTGGCCAAGCAGAAATCAACTAAGGAGAGATTGGCCAGGAAGAAGTACATGGGAGTGTGAAGGTGGGAGTCAGAGCTGATGGCCAAGATGATCAACAGGTTTCCCACAGCCGTGATCACATACATGCAGAGGAAGAGAGCAAAAAGGAGAGTCTCTTGGTCTGACTTTTCTGAAAGTCCTAGGAGGATGAATTCAGATGTGCTGGTTTGGTTCCTTGGCTCCATGGGGATGATTTCTCTGGAGGTATTGAAAGGGGAAGTTACATGAATGCTATACTATGAAAAAGATTCTGAGAAGCTAGACCAGATGAGAGCCACACCAATCCACTGACAAAATATTTATGGCAACTCACATTTCAAGATTCAGTTCAAGGTACCTCTCCTGAATATTTCCAATTCATATTAAGATAGAGAGAGTGCACCATGCACAGACCCTTGATGGAAAAACTACTAATGGGTGTTTTTCAAAATAAAATTAATTGCATCCAGAAAGAATTGATGCCTAAGAAGTAAGAATTAGCTACAGAATTTATATATACAGGGAAATATCTAATAATAATAATAAATTAAATTAAACAATAATAATAATGGAAATGTTCTTGGGTGGCACAAATGGTTTGCACTTGACTTCTAACCAAAAGATTGGTAGTTCAAAAAAAAAAAAAAAAGATTGGCAGTTCAAACTAACCCAGCAACAGTGTGTAAAGGCATGGTGATTTGCTTCCATAAAGAGTATAGCCAAGGAAACACAGCTGTATTCTGTAACTCATCAGGCTGCTATGAATAAGCTTCAACTCAACAGATGGGTTTGTTTTTTTGTACTTAAAGAAGGTGGATGAAAATAACTAGAGGAATGATATATAATAAAGAAAGAGAACTAGAAGGAAAATATTGTAAGGTTTTTGTATTGATATCCAGGAGAATAGAAACATTGAATATTTTGGACTTTCTATGTAAAGTATATGTGATAACAGTTTAAGTGTAACTGCTAAAATAAGGGATTCAGAATGTATAACCTCTAAATTTGTAGTAGGGGTAGAAGAGAATGAAAGAGATTTTGACTAATCCCTTTGAAGTCAGGAGAGGAGACAAAAAGAGGCAAAGAAAAATCATGAAATATTTGAGTAATTGCAAAAAATGTCTATATGGCTTAACTTCAACAGTAAACACAGAGACTTTCAGGTACAAAATTCTATTATATGATGCTTACAAGAGATACACTTAAACTACAATTATATCGAAAGTTTGAAAAACAAGGAATGGGAAAAGATAAACTAAAAAAAAAAATAACCAAAAGAAAGGTGGTTATCTTATTAATATCAGACAAAATGAATTAAAGGCAAAAGACATTAAAAATGATAATGAATCCTACAATAATGCATAACAATAGTAATAAAGAGGACTATTCACCAATTAATTTCTTCAAGCCCAGAGAGCGACCAGAAAACTGACCAAGTCAAATTGTTCATCTACTCTTGGAGCCATGGGTCCTGGGAATATTGGGCCACCAAAAACAGAAGCAGCCGCAATCTTCCCTCAAATCAGTGGGGAAAATAGCAAGAACATCTGGAATTCAGAAGAGGTTCCAGAAAGAGCAGAGTATGATGACATGTGGGACGTTAGAGAAATCCCCGAGTATGAGATTATATTCAAACAACAAGTGGGAACTGAGGATATTTTCCCAGGATTGAGCAGAAAGGACTCTTCTATAGCATGTTGTGAGGATATTGTGGTAAGCTTGTCTTCTCCCCTGCCCCGCATTTTCTGTATGACCATTATAGGTAAACTGAGTGAATGCTGTGTATTTAGTACTGTTAACAAGGCTGTAGACTCTTTAAAACAATGATTGCGATATTTCAGGTACTGTTGTTGTTGTTGTTGTTTGCCATCGAGTCGGCCCCGACTCATAGTGACCCCTCCTTGGGTTTCCGAGGCAGCATCACTACGGAAGTAGGAATGCCCAACCTTCCTTCCGAGGAGTGGCTGGTGGGTTTGAACCTCCAGCCTTCTGGTTAGCAGTCAAGTGCCTTAGGCACTATGCTACCAGAGCTTCAGGTACTAGGGGAATAATAACAGGAGCTCTGGTAGCATAGTGCCTAAGGCACTTGACTCCTAACCAGAAGGCTGGCAGTTCAAACTCACCAGCCACTCCTTGGGAGGAAGAAGGGGCAATCTACTTCCGTAGTGACAATGCTTTGGAAACCCAAGGAGGGGTCGCTATGAGTCGGGTCCGACTCAACGGCACATAACAGCAACAGCAGCATTCACCAAAAAGAAAGAAAGAAAGAAAGAAAAGGAAAAAAAAAAACCCTGCCACTGTGCATCTATCATTCATTTTAAATATAAAGAAAAAACTGACAGAACTACAAGGAAAATATGATAAGCTACAAATTACTAGGAGATCATGTTTTTTGCCTATTAGATTGACAAATACTTGTTAAACTTGATAGAAATCTATTTTGGTGTTATCATATACTGATGTTAAGATCATCCAAAACCAAAACCAAACTCACTGTCATTGAGTCAATTCCAACTCACAGCGACCTTCATTGGGTTTCCAAGGCTGTAAGTCTTTAGGGAAGTAGATTGCCTCATCTTCCTCTCAGGGAGCATCTGGTGGATTTGAATCACTGACCTTCTGGTTAGCAGCCAAATTCCTTGCCCACTATGCCATCAGAACTCCTTGCGTAACTCATATTGACCCTGTAAGAGAGTAGAACCTCTCCATAGAGTTCCTAAGACTGTAAATCCTTACAGAAGCAGATTACTACATCCTTCTCCACCAGGGCTCCTTATCACTGTGCATACTAATGAAATAACCCACTGCCATCAAGTCTACTGTAATTCATAGCAACCCTACAGGACAGCAGCCCTACAACTGTCCCATGGCATTTCCAAAGCTATAAATCTTTACAGAAGCAGATGCCCCATCTTTCTATTATAGTGTGGCTTGTTCGAACCATCAACCTTTTGTTTAGCAGTCAAGTGCTTTAACCACTGCACCACCACTATGCCATCAGAGCTCTTAAACTGCAAATAGCTGGGCTTAATTCCTATTTGTCCCTGTAACGACTCTCCTTGTTTGAGCTGTTCCCAGTATCTCTCCATCTATCTTTTTCTTTGGTTTTGTCAAGAACTCTTTTTTTTTTTTTTTTTTAATTTTAATTTTGATTTGGGTGAAATTTTGCGGAACAAATTCATTTTCCATAGAGCAGTTTATACACATTTTGCTTCATGACATTGACTGCAATCTCCATGACGTAACAGCTCTCTTCCCACTTCCTCTCTGTAGTTACCTCTTCCCTGTGTCCTTTCCTATGCCTTCTTGCCTCCTGAGCTATTTCCCTGTGCAAATACTGCCCTTCTGTTCTCCCATTAATGAAGGTTCTAAGGATCTTCCAACAACTCTTAAACTTGAATGCTCTCTAAGGTCTGATTTAGGCTCTTTTCTTTGTCCCATTTTTGCCTCATGATCCTTAGGAGAATCTGCTAAAAGTTATCATTTTAGGGGGCTCATGAAATGTCCTCAAGCTCAAGTTAAGAGCTGCTTTAAAAAAACACATTGTTTTAGGAGATTTTGTTAGGTAGGTAGTCAAGTAGGAAGAGCAGGTGTAGGAAAAATGACCAGAGGAAGAGTGGGTGCAGGGAAGAGTCCTAACCAGGGGTCCTAACCAATTGTAGTCCCAACCAACTGCAATGAGGGAAACTAACTGCTGGCCAAGCCACCAATGATAAGGGGAATGCCAAGCCACAACACATGCACACTAGAGAAAAAATGTGCCCTCTGTTAACCTTAAGACTCATTATAATATCATTATAATAAATTAGCCTTGTGGGTTTGACTCCACCTCCACCCCCACATGGGCAAACCGAGTGGATTATGGGAAAGAGCATGTGTAGTAATGGAAAAAGTTATCTAGTCTCTAAGTGTCAATGAAGCTAAACTTCTCACCCTAAAAGGAGGAGCAAGGGGAAGTCTCAGAACAGCACCAGGAAGCAAAATAGAATAAAAGGAGGGATGTTAAACCTCCTGGGGCTCCCTACTGCTTGTAGTTGATGTCCATTCTTGTCTGTGAGGATGTATCAATAAACTTTGCTTTGCTTACTGCTTAACTTTCATAAATTCTTTTGCAGAGGAAAACAAGGACCAAGGATCAAATCTCCCAGAGCTAACAATTTATTGGTCTCCAAATTTGATTACCAAACTTGCAACTCCAGACTCCCAATACCCTACCTGAATTTCACCTGGACACTCAATATTCACACAGGGACAACCTGCAGAAAAGAAGAGTGGTATGATGGAAAGTACTCAGATAATTGGACTCAGATAGACAAGGGTTAAAATCCTGGCTCCATACTATGTACTGTTGTTGTTATTAGGTGTTGTCAAGTCAATTTTGACTCATGGCAACCCCAATTACAGAGTATAACTGTCCCATCTGGTTTTCTAGGCCGTATTCTCTATGAGAACAGATCACCAGGCCTTTTCTTCTATGGAGCTGCAATGTGGGTTTGAACTACCAACATTTTAGTCAGTAGCCAAGCACTTAACCATCGTGCCACTAAAGCTCCTTTCCTGTCTGCTAACCTCCCTAAATTCTCCTTCTACAGAACCCCAAAGTCAAGGTGGGTTCTTTGTGTCCTGACATCAGATATGAAGTTTATTCCTTTTTCTGCTGTTGACAACATTCTACCACATAATATTATAATATGCCCAAGAGACTCAGGTATTTTTTTATCCTAAGAGGAGCTCTGGTAGCGCAGTGCCTAAGACACTTGACTGCTAACCAGAAGGCTGGTGGTTCAAACCCACAAGCCACTCCTTGGAAGAAAGATGGGGCAATCTACTTCCATAGTGATACTGCCCCGGAAACCCAAGGAGGGGTCATTATGAGTTGGGTCCGACTCAATGGCACATAACAACAACAACATAACAACAAGAGGAGCTAGTGAGTGAACTATTGATTAAATTATTTGCTGATTCAAGTAGCTATTAATGAGCTATATTTTCATGCCCTGAAAATCTAAGCTTTTACCATTTACTCTGTCACTTGTTGTCTATCCACAGCTCTTGGTAAAATTGTTAGGTCTCAAGAACTGGGAGATCCAGTTATTTCTTTTCATCCTCTTGATGAAGCTTTACTCAAGAAAACACATGCCTATCCTTGCCAAATCCCTGGAACTCAGTATCTCACATCTTGGACGAGAGTATCCTCTAGTTGCTC